TCATATGAAACACGTTTGCACTGTCTGTTCTGAGAGTTCCATCCGCATGTACCTTTTCCCCAGATTTCCTGTTGCCTATCGTCCAGTCCTGTTCTTCCAAGTGTGTTAGCCACTGACCATTAGTCCAATTTCAGGCCATCTCCAAGTCCTAACCATATGGACAATTAAATATTCTGCTCCAAGTTCTGCCCCTTGGGAGGATTTCTCTCCATCATTGTCTTTCCAGGGAACTTTGATTGGGGTCATAATGCTGATGGGGTGACGGTGAAAGGCTGATGGGAGACTGATAATGGACGGATGAGGCAGACAACTCCTGAATCCACTGGCCAGTCACAGAGACAATCAGACTTATTGCCAATGGCATCTTCATGACAGTGCAAATCCAGAATGTGAGAAATTCTCAAGGACAATATTTATTTATTTTTCTGAGGCAGCGTCTCGCTTTGTCACCCAGGCTGGGGTGCAGTGGTACGATCACTGCTCACTGCAAACTCCACCTCCTGGGTTCAAGCAATTCTCCTGCCTCAGCCTCCCAAGTAGTTGGGATTTCAGGCACCTGGCACCATGTCCAGTTAATTTTTGTATTTTTAGTAGAGACAGGGTTTCACCATGTTGGCCAGTCTAGTCTCGAACTCCTGACCTCAAGTGATCCGCCTGCCTTGGCCTCCCAAAGTATTGGGATTACAGGCATGAGCCACTGCGTCTGGCCAGCCACTATGCCCGGTCATGATCTGGTTTCTTTTTTTTTTTTTTGAGACGGAGTCTCACTCTGTTTCCTAGGCTAGAGTGCAGTGGTGTGATCTCAGCTCACTGCAACCTCTGCCTTCCGGTTCAAGCGATTTTCCTGCCTCAGCCTCCTGAGCAGCTGGGACTGCAGGCGTGCCAGCACGCCTGGGTAATTTTTGTATTTTTAGTAGAGACAGGGTTTCGCCATATTGGCCAGGCTGGTCTTGATCCCCTGACATCATGATCCACCTGCCTTGGCCTCCCAAAGTGCTGGGATTACTTTTTTTTTTAAAGGAGGAAGAGGAAATGCTATGGGTTAAAAGGGGCTTAAGAGGCCGGGCGCGGTGGCTCAAGCCTGTAATCCCAGCACTTTGGGAGGCCGAGACGGGCGGATCACGAGGTCAGGAGATCGAGACCATCCTGGCTAACACAATGAAACCCCATCTCTACTAAAAATACAAAAAAAAATTAGCCGGGCGTGGTGGCGGCGCCTGTAGTCCCAGCTACTCGGGAGGCTGAGGCAGGAGAATGGCGGGAACCTGGGAGGCGGAGCTTGCAGTGAGCTGAGATCCGGCCACTGCACTCCAGCCTGGGCCACAGAGCGAGACTCCGCCTCAAAAAAAAAAAAAGGGGGGGCTTAAGAGACATATCAGCCAAATACAATACATGGACCTGTTTGGATGGTGATTATAACAACCCAATTATAAAACAAAATCATTTATGAGACAATCAGGAAAATGTGAACACTGGCGATTGGATATTAGATGATACTAAGGAATTACTGCTAATTATTTTTAGGTGTGATAATTGTACTACAGATATGTTAAAGAAAAGTCCTTCCTGTAATCCCAGCACTTCCGGAGGCCGAGGCAGGTGGATCACGAGGTCAGGAGATCAAGACCATCTTGGCTAAAATGGTGAAACCCTGTCTCTACTAAAAATACAAAAAATTAGCCGGGCGTGGTGGTGGGCGCCTGTAATCCTAGCTACTAGGGAAGCTAAGGCAGCAGAATTGCTTGAATCCGGGAGGCGGAGGTTGCGGTAAGCCAAGATCGCGCCACTGCACTCCAGCCTGTTGCCACAGAGTGAGACTCTGTCTCAAAAAAAAATTAGCCAGGCATGGTGGCACATGCCTGTAGTTCCAGCTACTAAGACGCTGAGATAGGAAGATCACTTGAGCCCTGGAGGTGGAGGCTGCAATAAGCCTGGAAGACTGATAGAGACCCTGTATAAAAAATAAAATAAAAGGCAGCTCAGATGTAACATGGCCAAATCCTATTTTGATCCCCCCATTCTCTCATATCTGCTCCTTGCCCATTACAGTTAAGAACCACTTCAATCCACCCAGGGTCTCATCTTTGAAGCTCTCTTTTCCTCAAGTTCCCACTTCAATCCATCAGCCAACCTGGTCACTTCCACCTCCAATTAGTGCCCTGAATCAGCCTCTTCTCATCAGTGCCACTGTTCCACCCAGCTCAAGGTCTTACGTGGCCACCTGATGTCCCAGAGAGCATGGGGACGGCTTACAGATATCACTTTAAGTCTTTTCACTCCTTTAACCGCTTTTTAATTCCCTTTATCATCACCTCCTAGGAACATCTTTATCTCCACTCTAACATTTTTATCTCCCCGACTTTTAAAGTTTTCTAAACAAACAATGGGCCTTTCATCCATTGTTTCAGGGGGCATATGCTGAAATATGACACGATGTCAGGGATTTGTTTCACAATAATAGGGAGGAAAAGCGGGTAGGGGCTGGGGATAGAAAAAAAACATGATCAGGAGTTTCTCCTTCTGTGTGGAGGGATGCTCGCCAGGAGCTCACTTTACCATCCTGACTTTTGTTTATGTTCAAAATTCTCCATAATGAAAACCCGAGATTACCAACTCCTCTGTAACTGACTTTACGGACAAGAACTCTTTTATCGGGTGCTTAAGGTCAGACCTAGTTACTGCGATCAGTGACAATTTAGTGAGGACTTACTGTTACTAACAACTGTCAAGTGCGGCGATGATAGGTAATAATGCCTGCTGCAGGGTGGCAGGGACCGAGTGCTTCCTCGGAGGAGCTCCCGACCGCAGCCCAAGCACCCAGATCCCCGCCTGCTCCAGGCCGGCGCCCGAGGCACCTCGGCGGAAGCCGGGAGCGAGCGCAGCTCGGGCGGCCAGAGCTCCGCCCTCCCCGAGGCCTTGCACGTGCAGCCTGGGGACTCCGCGGCGCGTCCCTCCCTGCCCCCACCGCGGGCACGTGACCTGCCGCCCTGGGGCCCGGGAGGACTACGGCCGCAGAACGTCGTAGAGGATCAGGGAAGGTTCAGGGTCAACCTCCAGACTCAGCCCTTGGGTTGGGTGGCAGGGTGAGGGCCCTAGGGTGAGGAGATCTCCAGTTTAGGCCATAAGAAAGATCAGAAAGAGAAGAGCCCGAGAGAGACGTGGCCCATATTGGCCCCGGGTCTTGGGAGGGCGGGTCCGGGCTGGGGTTTGTGGGGGTTTGGACCCACTCGGCCCCCGGGACGCGAGCGCGGCGGGGATCCGGGCGCTCGAGGCTGCGCCGAGAGAGGGCGCCGGCCCAGGTGCGGCCTCTGGGTGTGGCCGGACGAAGCCAGCCCAGGCGGCCCGGATTGTCGTCCTCTGCGGAAGCGGCCCGGGCGCGGGAGCCGCGGCGTCGCTAGCCCCGGAGCCCCGCGACTCCGCCGCCCCGCGCGCCCTTCCTTTGTGTCTCTCAAGCAGGGGTGAACAAAAACCACTTGGATTTGATTTTTCTGTGCGAGTTCCCTTTTTTCTAAGTTCGGGGCCCCACCCTCCCCCAGCGGCGCGCGCCCCCGGGGTGTCCGCCCCCTCTCCCTCCCCCTCCCCCTCCCCCTCCAGCCCAGCCCTGGGCGGGGCAGACGCCCTTGGAGTCGGGAGAAAAGACTTTGTGATTTCAAAACCCACACGACCCGAGCTGGGCTGCGGAAATGGCGCCCATGTCCTGGCTCCGGCCAGGTCGTGATCAGGAGACAGGTGTGGCCCCGGGACCCGTTTGGAGAGCAGAGGGGACAGAAGTGGGTGCTGGGGGCTGGGGAGCTTGTGGCCCTGCGCCCCCCGCCCAGCCCCCGCTGCCGCATTTCGGAGCTGGGCGCGGCAAAGGAGGGCTGGGACGCAGGCAGGGGGAGTGGGTTGAGCGGGGCCTGCTGCAGGGAAACCCGGAGAAGCAGGAGGCCGGGCGGGGCGGGGCGGGACGGTGAGTCCTTCATTGCTTCTGTTACAGACTAAGGAGCCTCTTCCCACCGCATCCCCTTTATACTGGGTAGGGGTTCGAAGGCACAGGGACAGAGTATACAGGACACTGCTTGAGGGACAGGTAGCGCGTCCACCCACGATCTGTGCAACCTCATCAAGTCACCTCTCTGAGCCTCAGTTTCCCAGTATAATGGAAACCGCAATTTTAAATGACACATGAGTGCCTGGCACCCATTGAGCTCAGAAAATGAAGAGCCACGTCTCTGGGCCCCCTTGCTCCTGAGGGAAATGCACACACAAACCTAGAAAATGTGCTTGTAATGCACAATGTGGGACAAACTCAGTCACTCTCGTTTCATTCTCCCTTCCATCGAATATTCTGAGGCTTCGGCGCCAGCCTTTTGCTGGAGGCTGCCGAGATGAAGGCAGCACGCTTGGCCTGGCGAAGCCAATAAAAGAGTAGGCTCCCCTCCTGGGGCCAGGTGTCACCACAGAAGCAGGCCCTGGAAGATGCCAGGAGCCAGCCCAGGGCCCCGTCCTGCCCCAGGCCCTTCTGCGGGGAGAGCCCAGGATCTCCAGGTCCTGCCCTGCACTTGGAGATTTGCTCCCTAACAGGTTTTTGGTTTTGCTTTTTTGAATAGAGACGGGGTTTTGCCGGGTTGCCCAGGCTGGTCTCAAACTCCCGGGCTCAAGCAATCCTCCCGCCTCAGCCTCCCAGAATTCTGGGATTACAGGCGTGAGCCACTATGCCCAGTCTGTTTTTTTTTTTTGTTTTTGTTTTGTTTTTTAGAGACAATCTCTCTCGCCTCACTTTTTTTTTTTTTTTTTGAGACAGTGTCTTACTCTGTCACCCAGGCTGGAGTTCAGTGATGCGGTTTCGGCTCACTGCAACCTCTGCCGCCCAGGTTCAAGCGATTCTCCTGCCTCAGACTCCCGAGTAGCTGGGATTACAGGCACCTGCCACCGCGCCCTGCTAATTTTTGTATTTTTAGTAGAGACGGAGTTTCACCATCTTGGCCAGACTGGTCTTCACCGGCTTCAACCTCCCAAAGTGCTGGGATTACAGGGGTGAGCCATCGCACCTGGCTGGCCTCACATGTTTTTAAAAGGTCCAGTGGCCTGATGGCTCTTGGTGCTCTTCCAGATGATGGTAAAATCTCAGTGTGGACCCAGAGAAGACCGACCCTGACATCCTTTTTTCTTGACACATCTGATGAATTTTGATGAGCTCTGAAGGGAACTGCATTTCTCCTCAGCTGTCCTGAGTTCTGCAGTGCTTAGCGTCTGATGTCTTCATCTTCCTTCAGTTTCAACACTGTGTATAACTTAGTCCTCTTCAGGACCTGTCCCCCGGCTCTCGAGAGGGACCAAAGCTGTCTAGTAGGTGAATAGTGAGTAACTGGATGAAGTGTTCTTTTGTCTCTCTGAATGCTCCCCAGAGCCGTAAGGAATTAATAATCTTAGCTACCGGGCTGGGAGCAGTGGCTCACACCTGTAATCCCAGCACCTTAGCAAGCTAAGGTGGGAGGATCGCTTGAGGCCAGGAGTTGGAGACCAGCCTGGGCAACAGTGAGGCCCTGTCTCTACAAAAAACAAACAACAACAACAACAAAAACCTTGGCTGCCACTCGATGAGTATCTATGCTGTGCCAGAGACTACTTCAAGTACTAAATTCACGCATCATTATATATATAGAGACGGGAGTACGGTAGGAGACGGCAGAGACAGGTCACTCAGGAAGTTAAGCCAAGGCCAGGTTGGAAATTAAGTCAAGCCCTGCCACTGGGTGAACTGCGCAGGCAACGAGCATTCCACCTTGCCCTGCTGGGTATGCACAGTCTCAGTGTGGTATTCCTAGTGCTGCCTGCGTGGGTGCCAGAGGCAGCTCGGGGCGGGGCTATCATTCGGGAAGCTAGAAGGACCAGCAGCTTAGGCAGGGTCCAGTTCCTATTGATGCTACCCTGAAATGTCCCTCAGTTCCCTCGAGGTCTCACCATTTGTCCCTAGATCATCACACAGAGTCCTTCCTTGCCAACTGCCAGTGCTCCTTTTTTTTTTTGAGACAGTTTATTGCTGTGTTGCCAGGCTGGAGTGCAGTGGTACGATCTCGGCTCACTGCAACTTCCGCCTCCCGGGTTCAAGCAATTCTCCCGCCTCAGCCTCCCGAGTAGCTGGGACTATAGCTAATTTTTTTTTTTTTTTTTAAGTAGAGACGGAGTTTCAATATGTTGGCCAGGATGGTCTCAATCTCTTGACCTCATGATCCGCCTGCCTCAGCCTCCCAAAGTGCTAGGGTTACAGGTGTGGGCCACCGTGCCCAGCACCCCCCCTTTTTTTTGAGATAGGATCTCACTCTGTCGCCCAGGCTGGAGTGCAGTGGCATGATCTGGGCTCACTCCAACTTCTGACCCCTGGGCTCAAGCGATCCTCCTACCTCAGCCTCCTGAGTAGCTGAAATTACAGAAGTATGCCACCATGCCTGGCTAATTTTTGTATTTTAGTAGAGACAGGGTTTCACCATGTTGGCCAGGCTTGTTTTGAACTCCTGGCCTCAAGTGATCCACCTGCCTTGTCCTCCCAAAGTGCTAGGCTTACAGGTGTGAGCTACCGTGCCTGGCCTCAGTGCTCCCATTTTAATCCATCCCTACCCTGAATATTACTAAACACTTTAATTCCATCATTTCTTTTTCTTAGATATGAGGCCTCACTCTGTCACCCAGGCTGGATTGCAGAGGCACGATCATAGTTCACTACAGCCTCTAATGCCTAGGTTCAAGTGATCCTCCCACCTCAGCCTCCATAGTCCTTAGCTGGGACTACAAGTGTGCACCATCACGCCTGGCTAATAATTCCATCCTTAACCCTCTGCGAGGGATGCCATTTGCCTTCTGAATAAACCCAGACTCCTTCAGGAGGCTTACAAGGCCCTGGGCCACATTTTTAGCCTTTCCTCCATCCACTCCACCACAGACTTTAAGATGCAGCAAAAATGGTTCTCACTTTCTTGCCTTACCACAGCTGTGCCATCCGCCTGTCGTGCCCACTGCCCATCTGCCTCTTCGGGCAGGACCGTGTGGATTGGATGCTGCCAGATCATAGTGGCCTGTTCACTCTCCTGGTTCCTCCTCAAGGACTGAGCTCTTCGATTGCATGTCAGTCTTATTGTACTTGGACTCCCTTATGTCTACTATGGCATATGTGGAGTGAGTGAGTGAGTGAATGAATGAATGAATGAATGGGTTAAGATTTGGACCAGCTTGTCCCGGAGGGGTCCAGTGAGTTTCGAAGATGTACCTCAAGCCAATAATCATAATCAGGTTGCATGCCTACCCAATGTCAACAGAGGAGACCAGAGACCAGCGGGCAGGTCCCTGGCCTGGCCAGAGGGTACTGCCAAAGCATGTGTGAGAAGTTCCATCTTCCCGTCCCTCATCTCAGGCCAGCTCTTTTGACAATCCCAGAAAACAGATATGAGGCCTTTCATTTTGTTTAGAGACAGAGTCTGTTTCACTTCACATTTTTTTTTTTTTTTTTTTTTTTTAAATTGAGATGGAGTCTCGCTCTGTCGCCCAGGCTGGAGTGCAGTGATGCGATCTTGGCTCACTGCAAGCTCTGCCTTCCGGGTTCACGCCATTCTCCTGTCTCAGCCTCCTGAGTAGCTGGAACTATAGGCACCCACCACCACGCCCAGCTAATTTTTTTTTGTATTTTAGTAGAGACAGGGTTTCACCGTGTTAGCCAGAATGGTCTCGATCTTCTGACCTCGTGATCCACCTGTCTCGGCCTCCCAAAGTGCTGGGATTACAGGCTTCAGCCTCTGTGCCTGGCCACCTCACATGTTTTTAAAAGGCCCAGTGGGGCTGGGTGCAGTGGCTCATGCCTGTAATCCCAGCACTTTGGGAGGCTAACATGGGCGGATCACCTGAGGTCGGGAGTTCAAGACTAGTCTGGCCAACATGGCAAAACCTCATCTCTACTAAAAATAAAAAAATTAGCAGGGCGTGGTGGCAGGCACCTGTAATCCCAGCTACTCAGGAGAATCGCTTGATCATGGGAGGTGGAAGCTGCAGTGAGCTGAGATCGTGCCACTGCACTCTAGCCTGGGTGACAGAGTGAGATTCCATTTCAAAGAAATAAATAAATAGGCATAGCGCAGTGGCTCATGCCTGTAATCCCAGCACTTTGGGAGGCCGAGGTGGGTGGATCACCTGAGGTCAGGAGTTTGAGACCAACCTGGCCAACATGGTGAAACCCCGTCTCTACTAAAAATGCAAAAATTATCCAGGCATGGTGGCACACTTTTGTTATTCCAGCTACTCGAGAGGCTGAGGCAGGAGAATCGTTTGAACCCGGGAGGGAGAGTTTGCAGTGAGCTGAGATTGCACCATTGCCCTTCAGACTAGACGATAGAGCGAGACTCCATCTCAAAAATAATAACAATAAAAAATAAAGTGGGGGGTCCAAGGGTGAGGGCCCCTCCACACTTACCCCCCTTCAGACCAGCTCAGGCCCCTGTTACCTTTTGGCTGAGGCAACTTCCAAAATGCAAAGTGTGCAGAGCCATGCCCATCACGGAACAGCTGCTCTTCTACTCAAATGGCTTCAGTGGTTCTAGATAATCTGCCTTGCTGACTCTTTTGGGACAAATAGAGTGTGGATCAGCCATAATGTATATGTTCCGCATTAAAAGGAACATCTGGGGAAAAAAAAAAAAAGCTGGGCATGGTGGCTCACACCTGTAATCCTAGCACTTTGGGAGTCCAAGGTGGGAGGGTCACTTGAGTCCAGGAGTTTGAGACTAGCCTAGGCAACATGGCGAAACCCTGTTTTTTTTAAAAAAAAAAATTAGCCAGGTATAGTGTAGTGGTGTGCATCTGTAGTGCCAGCTACTCTGGAGGCTGAGGGAGGAGAATTGGTTGAACCTGGGGAGGCGGAGGTTACACTGAGCTGAGATCACACCACTGCACCCAGGGGCCTGGGGCGGAGAGGAGCGGACTGTCTCAAAAAAAAAAAAAAAAAAAAAAAGGAAAATGAAGAGAAAGGAAAGGAAAGAACATCTGGCTTCTCCTCGTAAATTGTCTCCTACCACCTGGGCTCATTTTCTCTCCCACGTTTACCACACCCATCCCGACCCAGCTCAGATCCTAGTTTATTTTTTGTCTTGACACCGTAGCAATTTCCAACATCGTTTCCCACTTCAGGCCACTCCATTTGGCTCACAAAATGTATTTCAATCTATATTGCTGTGACCGAGTTGGGGGGCTAGGAAGTGGGACTGAAACCAAGTGGCCAAGGATCTTGCCCTCTCCTAGGCTGAGTGGGGTAGCAGACAAACATGCCAAGCAGGCAACTTGTCAAAACCCCAGGGATGCTGGAGTGTAAGACGTAGGGGCCAGGTGCAGGTGGCTCAACACCCTTGTAATACAGCATTTGGGAGGCTGAGCGGGGTGTGATCGACCTTGAGGTCAAGAGTCAAGACCCAACCTAGCAACATGGTTGGAAACTCCCTGTCTCTACTAAAATACAAAAAATTAGCGCGGCGTGGTGGGGGCGCCTGGTAGTCCCAGTCTGGGGGAGGCTGAGGCAGGGGAATTGGCGGTAAACCAGGGCGGACTGGTGCATGTGAGTGGAGGATCGACCACTGACTCCAGCCTTGGCGGACCGAGAGCGAGGACCGGTTCAAAAAAGAAAACAACACAGGCCGGGGCGGTGGTGCTCAAGGCACTGTAATCCCAGCACTTTGGAGAGGCCGAGAGACGGGTGGATCACGAGGTCAGAAGATTCGAGGACATCCTGGGAACACGGTGAAAACCCCTCTCTTACTAAAAAATTACAAAAATAGCCGGCAGACGTGGTTGGCGGGCCGGCTGTGGTCCAGTTACTTTGGGAGGCTGAGGGCAGGAGAATGGCGTCAACGGGGAGCGGGAGGCTTGGCAGTGAGGGCTTGAGATCCGGCCACTGCACTCCGCCCGGGCTACAGAGGAGATCCTCCGGTCTCAAAAAAAAAAAAAAAAAAAAAAAAAAGAACAAACAAAAAAACCAAATTAGCGGGGCGGTGGTGCATGCGCCTGTATCCCAGCTATCAGGGCTGAGGCAGGGAATAACTTACCGAGGGGCGAGGTTGCACTGAGCCGAGATCCCACACTGCACTCAGGTGGGAAAGAAGGAGACTTATCTCAAATAAAAAAAAAAACCAAAACAGAATAGTACTAACGCCTAACACTTATTGAGCAATTACTATGTGATGGGCATTGTTCCAAACAATTTAAGGAGTTTAATCCTTAAAGCTTTTAATCCTCACAAGGTAGTTGTACTATTTTTATTCTCAATTTACAGACCAAAAAAAAAAATGACAGGCACAATGGTTCACGCCCGTAAT